AGCTAAATCAAATTTAGAGTGAAAGGGGTGTTGGGAAAGGGCATTTGCTCGGAGTGCTTATTCAAAGTGTCTATTCAGTGCTATCTCCATGGAATGGACCAAGAATGCAAGAAGAGGCTCAGGCTGCTGGGCTGGGAGCAATGCCCAATTCCACCTGTAAGAGCCCAGCCTTTTTGTGATAGAAAAACGAAGTGCCTGGAGCATATTTCTGTCTGGGCACTGGGGTGGAAAGCCTGACATCATTGGGCCTTTAATGAGGATTGGTAACCAAGGCTCAGGGGGAGTTGAGGAAGCCCTCTGCAAATAAATGTGACTCCAAGACTAATATTGACAGCCCTTTAGCACACCCTCTCCCCACCAACCGTGTTCTCTGAGACTGCCAACACCTGCTAGACAAGCAGCATTGCCGTTGGGAACCTCATGGGTAATGACAAATGAGCCAGTCCTTTCTACAAAGATGATGTTACTCAGCCATCATTCAATTCTATAATGTCTTTTGAGACTGATTATAGGCCCAGCTTTGTGCTAGGTGCAAAGTGATTACGACACACACTCTGCCTTGTGGAGGGCCTTACAATCCACTAATTGGGGCACAAAGGTCCAAAGTCTCTGTATCTTACTCCATGTTCATTTGTAATCTTGATTTTCCCTCTTGTGGTCAGGCTATATGGAATCTCCTTCTCTCAACTCCTCTCCCCCTGTTGACCTTTAACTCCTGCTGCTATCCTAATCCAGGATGTTAGCAGTCTAATGAAAGCTAAGACCGCAAGCTTCACAGACTGCTTGGGTTCAAATGCCATTTCCAACATTTGCTGGGTGACCCTGGAAAAGTCACTTAATTTTTCCATGCTTCCATTTCTTCATCTGTAAAATTAAGGATAATAATATCTACTTCATACAACAGTTGTGAGGATAAAGCAGGTATATATGGGGTAAAGGGTTTAACGTTATGCCTGGCACATAGCAAGCACTGAATAATATTATCCCCGGTGGCATACAGGTGTTATTCTGCGAACTTGGCCAGCTTGAAACCTGCTGACTTGGAACTGGAGGCCGCAGTATTTCTTCCTTTTGCTGCGTATACTAGTCGAAGGCCAGAGTGCTTGAAGGGATGGGAACAAAGAGAACCATTTTCTACCCTATCGGTTTCTTTCCTTTTCTTTAGAAACAGAGTCTTGCTCTGTTGCCCATGCTGGAGTACAGTGGTGCAATCATAGCTCACTATAGCCTCAAACTCCTAGGCTCAAGGGATCCTCCCACCTCAGCCTCCTGAGTAGCTGCGACTACCAACAAGCACCACCACACCTGGCTGCTGTCAGTTTCTTGAAGGCAGGGATTGTGTCATACCTGAATACCTGTTGTACTTAGAATTAATGACTCCAGATGTATATGTCTAAAGGAATTGATGTTTCCTGAACATATGCCCAAACTGAATGGGGAGATAATCCCCCATGACTCCCACTTTATACTCCTGATAAAGAAAGGGAAATACTCCTCCCTTCTCTACGGCAGAGGTCAGCCAGGTCCTGGGCTGAGACTGACAACCAGAAGCAGTTTTTATTTATTTATTTATTTTTTGAGACAGAGTCTCACTTTGTTGCCCAGGCTAGAGTGAGTGCCATGGCGGCAGCCTAGCTCACAGCAACCTCGAACTCCTGGGCTCAATCAATCCTCCTGCCTCAGCCTCCCGAGTAGCTGGGACTACAGGCATGCGCCACCATGCCCGGCTAATTTTTTCTATATATATTAGTTGGCCAATTAATTTCTTTGTATTTATAGTAGAGACAGGGTCTCGCTCTTGCTCAGGCTGGTTTCGAACTCCTGACCTCGAGCAATCCACCCGCCTCGGCCTCCCAGAGTGCTAGGATTACAGGCGTGAGCCACCGCGCCGGCCAGAAGCAGTTTTTAGATCAAAGGATTCCCATTTGTTATTACTCGGTTTCATGATGAACAAATACCAGTGAATGCAAGGGCCTCAGTGCAGAGTGAACCCCTACATAGACTCATGGTGAGGACTCTGGGCTCTGTTTTAGTGTCTGCCTGTAGCCTCATCTCCTAAACCCAAGCAACCCTCGAGGCCCCAAATCCTCACAAACCTACAATTGAGGCTCTTACGGATTTAATATCCAATACAGTGCCAACACTAGAACGGCACACTGTTCTTTGATGAAGATTTGGTGATAGCAAAATCCATAAAGAGAGTGTGGAGCCATACTGTCTTGGTTCAAATCACAATTCCACCATTTATTAGCTGTGTGGTCATAAGTTACTTAATCTCTCTGTTCCTTATTTATCTGTATAAAGAAATGTACATGAGTGCTTGTCTCATAGGATTGTTGCAAAAATTAAATTAGTTTATACACATAAAATGAGTTTAGGAAAAGTCTTGCAAGCATTAAGCACCTGAAAAGTATAAGCTACAATTATTATTCCTGAAAATGACATTAATCAAATCACATGGTCCCTATATTGTGGAGGATATTATAAGAAATCATATAGGAAAATGTTGCCTTTTGGGCAAATACAATTTTTCACAAAGTAGATAACTAATAAAGCCTAGTTTTTTTTGTTTGTTTGTTTTGAGACAGAGTTTCAGTTTGTTGCCCAGGCTAGAGTGAGTGCCATGGCGTCAGCCTAGCTCACAGCAACCTCAAACTCCTGGGCTCAAGCCATCCTGCTGCCTCAGCCTCCCGAGTAGCTGGGACTACAGGCACTCGACACCATGCCCGGCTAATTTTTTCTAAATATATTAGTTGGCCAGTTAATTTCTTTCTATTTATAGGAGAGACGGGGTCTCGCTCTTGCTCAGGCTGGTTTCAAACGCCTGACCTCGAGCAATCCACCCCCTTTGGCCTCCCAGAGTGCTAGGATTACAGGCGTGAGCCACCGCGCCCGGCCCCTAGTTTGTTTTGGAACTCAGAATTTCCACTTAATTAAGATGACTGACGTGGACACAGGCACATCAGTCTCTTCTCAGGTTGGGGTTTGGTTCTACTTTTTTGGGGAAAATTATCAGGAAATGATCTATTAGGGTAGGCAGTGAGTCTAGGACCCCTCCTCACACTTAGAAGAGGAGATGCTTCAAGCAGTTTCCTCCTCAGGTGACTAGGAATTCCTCAGTGGAAGGGACAAAGGAGGATAGGGGGTACACATGTGAGTGGTGCGGAGGAACAGCATCTGCATCTTCCCCTCAGTCATCTCCACCTAACGTAGCAGCAGCTTTTCTCTCCGTATTCCCCCAGTCCTTCTGAACTCTGAGCTCAAGGACTTAGGGAGAAGGCTAGGGAGGCAGCTTCCCTCTTGACAGGCAGGCAGGAGCCAGGAACAGAGGCTGCAGCCTTCGGCTGGCTGGCTTGGAGAGTACAGCAGTGCCCTCTGCTGTGAGGCACGCACGCGGCACCCAGGGCAAGAGCACGTGCAAACCTTGCAGGAAAAAAAACAGTCCAGCCACTCAGGCACATGCGTGGGCCGCCCTATGGCGACAACCCTCCTCTCCCACTCACTTTAAAAAAGCCTCCCTGCTCCAGAATCTGGGAAGATGTTATTTTTCTTTCTATTTTATCTCAGCCGAGGCTCCATCCTTTGCTAGTCCTGGGCTATCAGTGAGTACTACTCAGTTAATGCCAGAGAATGACAATATTCAGTCAATTCCAGAGCCACCCAAGGCCAAGTAGGGCTCTACCTCACTACAGAAAAAAGCGTAATTCATCTTCAAGAGCTCTAAGAAAAGCCTGGGATAGTGCTAAAGAATGCAGTTTAAAAGGTCTTCCAGGGTGGTGGCTCACACCTATAATCCTAGCACCCTGGGAAGTCAGGGCAGGAGGATCACCTGAGGCCAGGACTTGGAGACTAGCCTGAGCAAGACCAAGACCCCCATCTCTACTACAAATAGAAAAAAAAATTACCTAGGAAAAATTAGCTGGGCGTGGTGGCGCATGCCTGTAGTCCCAGCTACTCAGGAGGCTGCGGCAGGAGGATCACTTGAACCCAGGAGTTAGAGGTTGCTGTGAGCTAGGCTGACACTTTGACTCAATAAATAAATAAATAAAATAAAAAATAAAAGGTCTTCCTGAAGTCTATCAGATCTTGCTTTGTACTTTTTTCTTTTATTCCTATCTTCCTGTATCACAAATGTTTACATCCAACCATCCTGAATCCTAAACTTGTCTTCGTGAGATGTGAAATGGAGTAGAGAAAAGAGTTTGGGAAATGGAGAAGTCAAAGCCCCACTGAGGCTATAGACAAGGAACATTTTGAGCCCAACTCAGATCTGTCATCTGCCTTAAAGAATGCCAATCATCTTGGTATTCTGACATAGATACCACGTGGTACTGAGTCTAGGGCAGGGGTCCTCAAACTTTTTAAACAGGGGGTCGGTTCACTGTCCCCCAGACCATTGGAGAGTGCGCACTGTGGGCCTGGGATGAGTCGGCTGCTAAGCAGGACAGGCAGTGGTGGCAAAAACACCCAGAGGGCCAGATAAATGTCCCAGGCAGGTGGCATGTGGCCCGAGGGCTGTAGTTTGAGGATGCCTGGTCTAGGGTGTACTTTTAGATAACTGATACCAGGCAATGGTCTAGAAAAATAAAGCCTAGGATATCGCTGAAGAATACAGTTGGGAGGTTTTCCTTAATTCTAGAGTAGTGGTTCTCAGCCTTACTTAGCATGCATCAGAATCAACTGAAAAGGTCTTGCAGACTTTTTTTGTCTTAAAAAAAAAAATCAACTGACAATGTAGATTTTCAAAAACCCAGATTTCTGAGTCCTAACCTCAGAGCTTCTAATTAGTAGGCCTGGGTGGGGCCTGGAAATTTGCTTTTCAAAGAAGTTCAGATGATGATGGTTCAAGGTCCAAACTTTGAGAACTACTGGTTTAGAGAAAAGCACCTTGGCCTAAGCTATGAATAAAGACAGGTACACCTTTATGTCTGAAGGAGTTTAACTTGGTGATCACCTGCTTGTACAGATCTAGGAGCAGGCTGGGCTCACAATCACACCTCTCATTTTGCAGTGTTTATTTTCCCATTTTATAAAAGGGAGAGGGAGAAGCAAAGGAAAATACGGAGCAAGTGCAATCCCCAGGAATGGGATTTCAATAGTTCAGTAGCCTGTTGTTTTGCAGGTATCTTTTTAACAATCTTGGGCTTAGCCATCCAGAAGAGGGCCTGTTTCTGCTCAGAATTGCTGTAGCGTCTTTTGGTGACTCCTTAGCAGCCAGTGGCTGGTCTGTTATCACTGGCTCTCGTCCTTCACCAGGAGGGCAATTTGCTCCCGCAGCTGCCGCTCCCCTTCCCACACTTTGTTCTGGCTTCGACACCTCAGCAGCTCAGCCTTGTGGTCCTGGTGATGCATAGGGCAGTAACTCTGTGGTTCACATAGCACCTGTAAGGTAAGGGGACAGAGTGAGGAATTCTCTAGACCTTTGATCTCTGCCTCGTAAGTATAACAGAGACGCTACGGCTGGCAGTAGCTAAGAAGGAGCAGGGTTTCCTCTCAGAGCACTTTGCAGTCTCTGCGAGTTGCACACTAAATCCCCACCACAAGTCTAGGCTCCCCCTTTACCATATATTCTGGAAAGAAGTGTCTGTAGCCCCCTTTAAGGATGTACAGCTCTGGGTAGTGCAGTGCAGGATACTTGTTCAGAGCCCGGTCCTCTTCTCGCAGAGAGCGGCACCTTTAGAGAAAACCCAGAGATGAGTGTGGTGGAAAGAAAGTTGGGGTCCCATGGGCCATTCAGTGAGGAAGGAGAGGAAGAAGAGACTATTGCTTGCCCCAAACAAGACCTTCTGATATCACTGTGTTTGCACAACAAGGTCCAAGTAGTACCACTTTTCCTCTATTCCTCCACTGGGGCCTCATTCCCAATCCCTTCTCCTTTCTTGCTCCAAACTTTTGAATTCTAGAAACACATTCTTTCAACCTCCCTACCATTCTTCAAACTGTAGTGGAAAAGATTTGTTCGGTCAGTCCCTGTCTGAACTGGTCTGGAAAGTCCAACTCAAGATCCATTTCCAGTACCCGCCCTACCCCATGTAGACTCACATCCGGGGACCCCTCTCTGAGGAGAATTCACAGTGGAACACGATGATTATTCTCTTCTGGGTGTCCACAGGGACAATGGGCTTCTTCAGAAAGAAGTTATACAGTTCTTCCTGACTGTACAAGTTTAAGGCTCCCTGTAGAAGAAGATTTTTAACAAATATTTCATCAGAGCTTGTAGACAGTGCCAATACTTAGAAATGACTGGAAGACCAACCTGTTACAATTGGGCCAGAAAAGCTAGGTTATAAATACTTTCAGGGCAGTGACCTTAGTACATCTCTCTATCCACCCCTAGGGCCTGGTATAGAGCTAGGTATGTAGTATTGTTCTATGAACAATAAATATTCACAGAACTGAACCACCAGAAGTTTAGGGGTTATTACAAGGAACATCCATGAGCAGTGTTTGCAAAGTGCTTCTTGGTCTTTGGATTAATATTTTTATTTCTAGGTAGGAGCCCTTGGCTCCTACAGAAAAGAGGGGGACTGGTCTAGGAGGGAAAGGGGAAGTAAGTTGCTCAACGTTTAATAGAATTAAAACAGGAATGAGGACTTCAGCTTTGATGTGCTCCAAATGTATAATCTCTGTCTTGGTTCTAATGTTCATAGGACCCCTTGTCCATAGACTTTTCTAAATAAAAAGCTATCTCCAGCCCCTTCCCCTCTAGGAATTTCTACAATGCAATCTCACCTGGATGTGTCCACCCAGGTACTCATATGGGTAGCGGCAATCGATGATGTAAAACTTCTCAATCAGATCCTGGAACTTCCCCAACAGTAAGGCAGCCACCTGCACAGAAACAATGATTGAACACCTTGCTCACTGCCACTCTGAGAGAGAGAAGAGTCAATGATACAGTTCCCTATGTGCACATTCCTATTAGTAACCCAGGATTCTGCTGTATGCCAGCCTCCAAAGTCATCCTATATTTGAAATGTGGCAATGGTTTAGTCCCACCCCACAAAAGAGGATGAAACAGGAAGTGGCCTTTATAGAGAACAAAAATAGCTGGCACTGCCGGGACACCAAGGAAGACCACATTCAGGCTACACATCTGGAGACAGGGATGGCTGGAATCAGCCTCTCAAGAGACATCCTAGGATGTCTCTGCAGGGGCAGAGATAGCAGATAGAGATCTCTATTTTGTAGGAAGAAATGGGAAACAGTTCTCCACTTGCCATTATAAAGGAAGAAACTAAGTTTTTCAGAAAAGGATATGGAAGGATACCTAAAGGAGGAAATTAAAACTAAGTGCAGTAGTGTAAGTTGGTTCAGTCTTTCTGGAGGGAACTTTGTATATATGTATAAAAATAAATGCAGCCGGGCGAGGTGGCTCACGCCTGTAATCCTAGCTCTCTGGGAGGCTGAGGCGGGCGGATTGCTCAAGGTCAGGAGTTCAAAACCAGCCTGAGCAAGAGCGAGACCCCGTCTCTACTATAAATAGAAATTAATTGGCCAACTAATATATATAGAAAAAAATAGCCGGGCATGGTGGCGCATGCCTGTAGTCCCAGCTACTCGGGAGGCTGAGGCAGAAGGATCGCTTGAGCCCAGGAGTTTGAGGTTGCTGTGAGCTAGGCTGACGCCACGGCACTCACTCTAGCCTGGACAACAAAGCGAGACTCTGTCTCAAAAATAAATAAATAAATAAATAAATGCAATTACATTTTGACTCAACAATTTATTTTCTAACATCTTAAGTAAACAGAAAAGTACACAAAGATGTAGAAACAATGCTATTCATCTTAGCATTGTTTTAGGTTATAAAAATATTAGAAGCTGGGTGCAGTGGCTCATGCCTATAATTCTAGCACTTTGGGAGGCTGAGATGGGAGGATCATCACTTGAGGCCAGGAGTTCAAGAACAGCCTGAGCAAAGTGGCAAGACCAGTCTCTACAAAAAATAGAAAACTCAGCAAAGCATGGTGGTATGTGCCCATAGTTCCAGCTATTCAGGCTGATTGAGCCCAGGAATGTGAGGTTGCAGTGAGCTACGATGATGCCACTGCACTCTAGCCTGGGCAACAGAGTGAGACCCTGCCTCAAAAACAAAAAAAAAGAAATAACTTGGCCGAGTGTGGTGGCTCATGCCTGTAATCCTAGCACTCTGGGAGGCCGAGGCGGGCGGATTGCTCGAGGTCAGGAGTTCGAAACCAGCCTGAGCAAGAGCGAGACCCCGTCTCTAGTATAAATAGAAATAAATTAATTGGCCAACTAATATATATAGAAAATATTAGCTGGGCTTGGTGGTGCATGCCTGTAGTCCCAGCTACTCGGGAGGCTGAGGCAGCAGGATGGTTTGAGCCCAGGAGTTTGAGGTTGTTGTGAGCTAGGCTGATGCCATGGCACTCACTCTAGTCTGGGCAACAAAGTGAGACTCTGTCTCAAAAATATATATATATATATTTGAGTAAATAAATTATACATGGCAGTAGAATAGAATATCATATAGCCAGTAAAATGATAAATAGATATCTAGATATCTTATTATCGGTGTACAAAGATGTTTATACTGTCTTGCTAAAGCTAATCACAACGGTACATATTCATCATGAACTCATTTTTTTTTTTTAATTTTTTTTTTTGAGACAGGGCATCATTCTGTCACCTGGGCTAGAGTGCAGTGGTGTCATCATAGCTCACTGCAAGCTCAAACTCCTGGGCTCCATGATTTTCCTGTTTTAGCATCCAGAGTAGCTGGGACTACAGGCACATGCCACCATGCCCAGCTAATTTTTCTTAGTTTTTGTAGAAATGGGGTCTTACTATGTTGCTCAGGCTGGACTTGAACTCCTGGGCTCAAGCAACCCTTCTGCCTTGACCTCCCAAAGTGCCGGGATTAGAGGCATGAGCCACCACGCCCAGCCAAAAGAGAGTCTTTTTAATATAGCTTTAATCAAATAAGGAGCCTATGTGAGTGCACACAGTGAAAGAAATACAAATGGAAATGGGGATTTTAGGGACAGAACAGACCAGATGGTAGCTTATGTAACCAGTTACCATCTCCAGAAATCTGCTTACTGTTTCTGGGCTGACATACTTCAGATCTTGGTGTCTCCCTGACACGGTTGGCAGTACACATACCTAGAAATACACAAAAGCTGAAATAATAGCAAGTATTCCACACTCAAGTTTGAGATCAAGACTCATACATTGTCCTTCTTTCCAAATGACTCTTAAAGCCCCAGAGGCCTTCAAAAACCAATGGTCTCTATAATGTGCTTATGTAGCAATTCCATTTCTAAGAATCGATCCTAGGGAACTAATCAAGGATGCACAAAGTTTTACATTTCCCTACACAAGATGTCCATCTCAGTATCATTCACAAGGAAAAACTGTAAAATTAAATATCATATAAGAAGGGATTTATCTAGAAATTACTAGCAGCCCAAAACTAAAATAGTGTGCAGCTATTAAAAACAATGAGATGATGAAGTATAACTGCTTACTGACATTAAAAGATGCTCCTGATATAGTATTAAATTAGGGGGAAAATCCCCAACAAATCACAAAATAGTATAAACATTTTTGTAGAAAAACAAAAAATGCACTTGTATGTGTGTGTGTTTGTGAACATGCATAGAAGAAAGCCTTTACGAATATATATCAAGGCCGGGCGTGGTAGCTCACGCCTGTAATCCTAGCGCTCTGGGAGGCTGAGGCAGGAGGATTGCTTGAGCTCAGTTCAATACCAGCCTGAGAAGAGCGAGACCCCATCTCTACTATAAATAGAAAGAAAATTAGCCAAACAACTAAAAATAGAAAAAATTAGCCAGGCACAGTGGTGCGTGCCTGTAGTTCCAGCTACCTGGGAGGCTGAGGCAGGAGGATTGCTTGAGCCCACGAGTTTGAGGTTGTTGTGAGCTAGGCTAATGCCACAGCACTCTAGCCCAGGCAACAGAGCGAGACTCTGTCTCAAAAAAATTAAAAAAAAGGAGCTTTTTGCCTATTTCTAGGCCACAGGTAGAAGTCCAAGGTTCTGGGAACAGAGGATAGACTCTAGATACCTGGAAGTTGTTATTAGAAGTCTTTAATTAGATCCCCCTGTCTCTAGATATAATACCCAAATCATGCCTCTTTCTTTCCCATTTATATACACTCTTTTATAGGAAGACTGAAGTGATATTTTTCTCCCTCTCTCACGAGAAACTGATCAAAAAAGTGACAACATATATATGCTGCTTGAATATATTTTTTTTACCTGGCTAACTTTTTTGGCTTTTCCATCTTAGGTTTGTTGGGGTCCTTAAATCCTGATTGTCAATGTCCTAAGATCCAGAGAGAAACTGGACTTACGTTTGGTTTTCTATTACATGACTGGAGGAACTGCACTTGTATTTGATTTCTCTCACAAGAATAGTTGCACCTAAGACAATCACTGCAGAATTTGGCTTTTTATAGTTAAATTAGCTGAGGGAGGATGGAATATCATGCAATCCAATAGAAAAGATGTTAATGAGAACCAGAGATAAGGTGTGCTTTATCTAGGTCCTTCTTAAACTTGAAGAAATTACCTATCTGTTAACAATGCAGGATTTTAATACAGTAGGTCCTGAGGTGTGGCCTAACATCTGGAATTCTGTGTTTAAAACCCAAGCTCCCAGGAGACGATGCTGCTGGTTTGCAGAGCACACTTTTGAGGAGTAAAACAACTGACAGATTTGATATTCTCAAACAGGCATTGGTGAACAGAAGCCGCCTCTATCGCTCCCCTTCAATGCCAGAGAATTTGAACAGGCCCAAGACTAGAAGCAGGTGGCAAAATTCAAGGATAAACCCAATACCAGAATAAAGTAAAAAGAAATATTAGTTCTGGCCACAGAGAGCTCAGGAGGTAAGAAACTGTTTAAATGGGTGTTTATCTTCTATCATCATGTCGTTCTGCTGCTTTTTCTGTATGAGGATTGCTTTAGTATGCCTTTTTGTCTTCTTCCTCTTTATTTTTACTTTTATGTCTTTGTTCTTTCTATCTTTTTGGTCTTTTCTATATCTGCATCCGTATGAAAAATATTTAACAATAAATATCTGTGTTATAGTCTTCAGAAGTAATGTCATTATACAGTCTTCCCAATCCTCTTTTTTATTATTTATTTATTTATTGTTTGTTTTTGAGACAGAGTCTTACTTTGTTGCCCAGGCTAGAGTGAGTACCGTGGTGTACAGCTAGCTCACAGCAACCTCAAACTCCCTGGCTCAAGCGATCCTCCTTGCCTCCAGCTCCAAGTAGCTGGGATGCTACAGGCATGCGCACCATGCCCGGCTGATTTTTTTCTTATATTTTTAGTTTGGAATTAATTTCTATTATAGTAAGAGAGCAGGTCTTGCTCTTGCTCAGGCTGGTTTCGAAACTCCTGACTTTGAGGAATCCCCCTCCTCGGCCTCCCAGAGTGTATTTTTATTGTTTTTGAGAACAGGGGTCTCACTCTGTTCCCTGGACTATAGTGCTGTGGTGTCGGCCTAGCTCACAGCAACCTCAAACTCCTGGGCTCAAGTGATATCCTGCCTCAGCCTCGTGGAGTACTGGGACTACAGGCACTCACCACCACGCAGCAGCTAATTTTTACTATTTTTAGTATAGACGGGATCTTGAGGAGGCTGGTCTTGAACTCCTGGCCTCAAGCAGTCCTCCCCTCTTCAGCCTCCCAGAGTGTTAGGATTTTAGGAGTGAGCCACCATGCTAGCTCCAGTCCTCCTTTTTTTAAACATCTGAGGGAATACAAGGGAACTTTGGGTTGGTATGGATAGTTAGTGCTGTTTTCATGCATCATGCAGTCTGACAGAAACAACATCTTATAACAGATGGGTTTGATGTGAAGTGACTTCTGAAACAAACTTAGCCCCACCTGTACTTTCCTTTAAAAAAATTTTAAATCATCTTTGGGTATTTTTATGAAATCAGTATGAGATATTATTAGAAGAATAGCCAAATGCAGATAACCAAAAACAAGCCAATGTAACATATCCATAATCCCACAGGCCTGAATAATTACTGTTAACAATTCATATTCTTCCAGACATTTTTCTATGCAAATATATATTTTTTCTCTTTATTAAAGTAGCATTACAACGTTCTTGTTTTTTTAACCTAGCTACGTGATATCATGACTTATTTCTATGTCCAGGTATAATTAATCTACCATACTTTGGTTGTATCATAAAGATGATCTATTAATGTGTGAGATATAATTTCTTTACTCTAAGGCCCCATTCCAAACATTACTAGTAATAATGCTCTTTTTTTTTTTTTTTTGGAGACAGTCTACTGTGTTGACCAGGCTAGAGTGAGTGCTGTGCATCACGCCTAGCTCACAGCAACCTCAAAATTCCTGGGCTCAGGCAATCCTCCTGCCTCAAGCCTCCCGAGTAGCTGGGACTACAAGGCAATGCGCCGCCATGCCCGCTAATTTATATATATATATATATATATTTGTATATATATGGTATGTATATATAGTAATATTATATAGTATGTATGTATGTATGTTAATGGCCAATTAATTTTCTTTCTATTGTGGTTGAGACGGGCTGCTCTGCTCAGGCTTGGTTTCGACTCCTGACCTGACAACTCCACCTGCCTCGGCCTCCCAGAGAATAATGCTCTTATAAAACATTCTTGAGAGTATCCATCCTTACAAGCCACAAATCTGTTTTGCATATCTTTATTTCCCTTAGGGACAAGTGAATTATTAGATTAAAGGATCTGTGCATGTTTAATGAACCCCACACTCTCCAACCCCCTAGGTTTTTAAACCTTTTAGCTTGAGAAATGGGATGTGCGGTAGGAATCTTGTCATTTGCAGGGTTTAGGTCTAAAGAAGACAGCCTCTCTCTGTGACATTAATATCCCTCAGATGCTGGAGGAAGATTCTAAGCAGGGGGATCTGACTGGTGTTTCTCTAAGGTGAGTTTGGTTACAACCATCCTATATTTCAGTGAGTCATTTCGGATCTGATTCTTTTCTTCTCTGTTTGCTGAGGACACGAGGTATAATTATGTGTCCTTACCAAGTACTCTTTGATAATCTCAAAGTGCTCGAGGCTCTAAGCCTTTCTGTTGAGAAAGTATTCTTTATTCATTGTAGGAAAATCCAGATAGTAAGGAAAGTATGAGACTTTTTACCTTTTTTTCCTTTTAAACATATTTTTTTTTTTTTTTTTTTTTTTTTTTGAGACAGAGTCTCACTTTGTTGTCCAGGCTAGAGTGAGTGCCGTGGCATCAGCCTAGCTCACAGCAACCTCAAACTTCCTGGGCTTGAGTGATCCTTCTGCCTCAAGCCTCCCGAGTAGCTGGATTAACAGGCATGCGCCACCATGCCCGGCTAATTTTTTTTATTAATATATATCAGTTGGCCAATTAATTTCTTTGTATTTAAGTAGAGACGGGTCTCGCTGCTTGCTCAGGCTGATTTTGAACTCCTGACCTTGAGCAATCCGCCCACCTCGGCCTCCCAAGAGCTAGGATTACAGGCGTGAGCCACAGCGCCCGGCCTTAAACATATTTTTTTAGTTGTATAAATAATACTTGGTCGTTATATAAAAATGAAGAAATTTATCCCAAACCTTATCAATGGGAGTAATTATTGCTCAGTAATATATATATACCTAATATAGTTATTTTTTTTTTTTTTTTTTTTTTTG